ATACCTTTTATGGTTTGCTTTGAATCACTTACCCCATGTGCTTTTTTTTATCATTTACCCCATGTACTTTTTTCCATCCAAGTTCATCCTTAAAGTGTTGAAATTATTCTATCCTTCTTACAAAAACACATTTCAGCTACCTTTGTGGCATGATAACAATAGTATAATAACTAATGGTAATACATAGTTACTGCCAGTAGTACATGTATACTCTAATACCCAATATTTGAATCCAACCTTTGGAGTCATGTGACATAGTTACTATGTTCTGCAGTAATTTGAAGATATTTTTGCGTGTTTTATGTTGAAATATGATAAACTATACATAGATGGAATAATCCCTTGTGTTAATGGCAAATTTTAAACTGAAACATGAGGATAATGCTTCCTTGCTTCCAGTACAGGGATTGGCTACAATCTTTTTGCATACAAAATTGTTAATAAACAGCGGGACTTCAGGTGGTTTTAATTGCATCTTTATATCCATTTTATTCTTTTGCAAATTGAATTGTCTCTCTAACAAATAGGTACTTAAACAATGAAAGCCATAATTCTTAAAATCTACTTTTCTCCATTTATGCTATTTACAGCCTTCAGGCGTGGAAAATCCTAGAATATCTAGGAAATCACATTGATCTTATCCTAACAGAGGTAGTTATGCCTATTTTATCAGGAATAGGTCTTTTGTGCAAGATCATGAGCCACAAAGCTTTGGAGAATATCCATGTGATTAGTAAGTGTCATTCCGTAATTATACTTTATACCAAATTTAAGTATATGCTTTCAATGACTTTTGTCCATTTGGTGTTTTGTTTTACTATGCTTGTTGAAATGCATGCAGTTGTACGAATGGATATAACCTTCAAGTGTGTGTCAAAAGGTGTAGTTGATTTTTTAGTGAAACCTATTCGAAGGAAGGAACTTAAAAACCTTTGACACAAGATAACTGAACTGTGTTTTTGTAAGAATGATAGAATAGTCATATTAGTTAAAAACTCTGACATTGTTAAGGAGGAACTTCGATAGAAAAAAACACAGGGGGTAAATGATAAAAAAAGAAGAAGCACACGGGGTAAACAATTCAAAGACAAACCATAGGGGGTATTTGAATTTTTCCCAATTTATTTTGAATATTTTCTAAAACCTTCTTAGTACTCTTTTCCATAAGCATATTTCAATAAAAAGGTGCAATATTTTTTCTTTTAAATTATTTCATAAATTGATTGGATTTTTTTGAATTTCAATCTTAATCTAAAGGTTTAGTCTTTTAGGAATTGTAACACAATTTTCTTCATATATAAGTAATGACCTAGAAAATGATTGATTTTGTGCAATACTACAAGAATGCTTGATTTCCTTCTTTTGTGCAATCTGAAAATTAATGACCCACAATTCATGGGTTTTCCAATAATTTATCAATAGCAATGAATTTAATTTAAGATAAGAAAATAGATTATTCAAGAATATGTGTCAGTAAAATAAATCATGGATGAAACATAAGATACATTTTTCAGACTGTTATGGACCTGATATAAAGACTCACATTCTAGAATGTTCAAGAAGGGCAAAAAATAATTAAGAGAAAAAATAAGGAAAGATTTCTTAATTATACTAATCCTAGTGTGACAACAATGGATCAAGCATTGGACCCCCTAAAAATTCACCAAAGGTCCAGATTTCACTACCCAAAAGTAAACTATCTATAAATAGGAGATAAAGCCTATAGGAACGCACTTTTGAACCCTCTCTCTTAGCTATCATTGTGTGCACACGCCACGCCTTGACTATGCCGTCTATTATAGTGCACAATGATTTGTTTTCCTTTAAGGTATCTCCCTCACAGATACCTAAGAGAGAACATAGATCCAATATTGATTAACCAATCTTCGATTGGGCATCTCGATCTAACAATATTGAACATTGGCGCTGTATGGGAACCGATAAACTTTGATTCCCACCCAATAATGGTGAACACATAATAGCTGCCGCAATAACTAAATCCTAATACGATGGGTGCAGAGCACAAGAAGGTAACCTCATCAATACCATCACAATATTCAAGTGCCCAATCCACCATGAAAGTTGAGTAAGGCACTTTCCAACGTCGAATTTCCATCAGCCTCTCGCATTTTGTTGGCCATCAAAGGAGCACGACCAAACCTGCTTTCATACACTAAACATAAGGTGGGACCCAATCGAATAAAAAGAGCACAACCTTTTCCTTGGCAGATCTAAAAATTCATGGTGCATCTTCATCTAAATGGTTAAAGAAACATTATGATGGGATCCACTTTGGAATGCCTTAAGGAGTGTGCGTTCTTCTGTCATCAAAGACTCAAATATAAAAAGGCCAAGGCATGAACCAGAACTTCGGCCGCTAGGCTGAGACAAATGATTAGATTGAAGAACATCCTCAATTGGATAATTTTATTCTCGGGTTACGCCATAAGAGGGACATTAGACTCTCCCATGGCTTAATTTTTATTTAATGTCTTTCTTTATACTATATTTATGTTGGTTGCTCTCGTTTATATCTTTCATTTAATTTTTTATGAAGGATCTAGCCTTGTTATCTGCATTCTGTTCAAAGACAAGATTCCCTCCTAAATCTCAGACTTACAATGTCGATCATACTTATCACCTAAACATGCAGTGCCTCGCAAAGCTAAAACCCTTATTACAACACTCATATACTTTGTATACAAGCCACCAACCATCTAATGGTACTCCAAAAGTAGCACTAGGGAAGATAAAGATCCTAGTTACTGTCATTTGCATCTTGAATGAAATTTTGAGATCATGGATGCGACTATAAGATAAGAAGAGCAACAGAGCTTGCCAGCATTAATCATGTTTCTTTGCTGCAATGGAATGAAGATCACTCTGGTCATGAGCAGTGAGATCTGGTTCTTACATTTGACCTGCGTAGAAGGGTGCGGTAGAGAAGCCCACCTTCACACAAGAACAGTGGTTCAAATCTGGGAATTGTTTGATATGCCTCCAGCATATATATGATTTTAAGCCAAAAAGAGAAAGAATCTTGATCAATCTTGGATAAAAGGGTTATAATTGTTATTAAATTGATAAATCTCAATCAGAGATCTTGTCACTAATTTTATTATATTTTTGTAGGAAAATCTTCAACTTATCTCAGAATTGTATCAGAAAGATTGAATCCAAGATACACAATGAAGATTTGATCACGATTTCTAAGCAAGGCATAAACTCTATAAATAGAGACTCAGACCTCAGAGCAAAACATCTTTGGCTGGAGAGAATTCTTGGAGGCTCACGCTAGAGATCAGGATTCCGACGGAGTTGAAGAACGAAGACCATTGATTCTTCATCTTCATCTTCTTCTTCTGTTTCTTTATTGTTTTCATGAATACTTTTTATTTCTTTAATTTGTTTAAGCCAACTATGTCTGGCTAATTTCTTTTTGTAGTTGGGATCATGGACCCTATGTGAATCCTTTATATTTTCTGTATTGATATTTTATAAGTTAATTAGTTAGTTTATTTTATTCTACCCTTGTTAATTTTTCCATATCCTGTTTAGAATTGGCCACTCTAAATTATAGGCTTTGAGGGTTAGAATTCACAATAGACATATTGGAGTTTTAATCTGGACAAAGGTAGAATAACAATTTGTGTATGATCTAGGGTTAAAGGGTTGAAATCACTAAGACATTAGGGTTCAACTATTTTATAGGAAAAATGAATTGTCTGAACAAACTAATTAATTAAATTATAAAATACAATATAGGAATATAAGGGAGGATCAGAGGTGAATTGCATCTTGGCTACTTCCTTTTTATAAATTTTTCATCAATATTTTCTCGCGTTCTTGATCTTTTCTTGCATGCGTTGAAAATTAATTGTTTTTAATTTTCTGTTTTTAATTATTATTTTATTTTAAATTCTGTTTTTAAATTACTTTCACAATTCAAATCAATTTTTATTTTCCAACTTAAGGAGAATAGTTAAACTAGATGTTACCAAAAAAAAAAAAAGAATAGTTAAACTAGTACGTGGTGTATTAAGCCTCGTGGAAACGATACTCTACTTATCACTTTATTACATGAAACGAATGGTATACTTGCCGTGTTCGTAACAAGTTTTTGGCGCCGTTGCCGAGGATTATTTACGCTAATATTATTTTTAACTTTCGATCTTTAAGATTGGACTTTTATTTTATTTATTTATTTATTTTCTTTTTCTTTTCTTTTTTAAAAAAAATATAATTTTTTTATTTTTTACTTTTTATTTAGAGTAAATACCTTTTTTGGTCCTCAGCAAATTTTACGATGTCCGTTTTAGTCCCTAGCAAATAAAAAGGCTTATCGTTGTCCCTAAAAAATTCAAAATGGACTCATTTTAGTTCTTTTAGGGACTAATATGGGTCTTTTTTGAATTTGTGAGGGACCACGATTTCAACTAAATGGGTCTATTTTGAATTTCTTAGGGACCACGATGGACCTTTTTATTTGCTAGGGACTAAAACGGGTGTCGTGAAATTTGCTGAGGACCAAAAAGGGTATTTACTCTTTTATTTATTTCGATTTTATTTATTTATTTATTTATTTATTATTTATTTTATTGTTATTGTTTTTAAAAAAACTTAATTATAAAAAAAATTAATTTTTATTTTGTTACTGATTGATTTCTCTCTTTTATGCGAGGTAAAGCTAACAGCGAACCTTTTCAGTTTGATCCAGAAATCGAGAAAACTGCAAAGAAAAACCGGAAGCTAACCAAGCTAAGGAAGAAAGAGGAATCCTCGAGTTCAGACCCAAAAGCGAAACCCGAGATGGCAACACTGAATCCACCACCGGAGGAAGAATTGATGGAGTCAATCTTGGCTCCACTGTTCACAAGGCCAAATTCTAGCATCGTCAGACCACCAATCAACACTAACAATTTTGATATCCAGCCAGCACTGATATCTTGGTGGAGAAAAATCCATTTGGTGGGGAAGGTTATGAAGACCCCCATGATTTCATGGACAGATTTTTGAGAATCTGTGACACTACCAAGCATAACGGGGTGTCCGATGATGCAATTAGACTCCGACTGTTCCCTTTTGCTGTAACAGGAAACACTCTGAGATGGTTGAATAGACAAGCCCCCAACAGCATCAGAACGTGGGATGAACTGGCGGCTAAATTCTTCGCAGAGCACTTCTCTAGGGAGAAATACAACAAGTTGGTGAATGAAATCACCAACTTCACTCAACAACCAGGAGAAACTCTATGTGCAGCTTGGACCAGATTCCAAGAACTGATCAGAAGGTGCCCCGCGTATGATCTGCCAGACGGAAAGAAGGTCAGAGTCTTCTATAATGGAATGACACCAGACTCCAGAATGATTGTCAATGGTGCAGCCGGTGGGACCATAGCAAAGAAGATAGCAGCTCAAACTTTAGACCTGATCGATTTCATGTCGAGGGCTGAGAATGCATCAATGGCAGTTCAACCAATTCAACCAAGAAGGGGAATTCTGCAATTGGGAAACAATGATGCATCGCTAGCAGAACAAAAGATCTTATCTCAACAGATAGTCAGTTTGAATGCTAAGTTGGAAAAGATGCAACTTTCGATAGCTCAAGTTAACTCGTTTAACTGTGAGTATTGCAAAGGAGAGCATGAGACCATCGAATGCCCAACACTTATAGGAGCTGATTCCTTTCAAGTTAATGGAGTCTGGTATGATCCAAGACCACAGCAGAACTTCCAGAGAAACCAGAACAATGCTCCTGGAAACAACTTCCAAAGGAGATTTCAAGGGGGAGGTTTAGATTACAAATCCGACCAATATTTACAACCTCCTCCAATTTCACAAACTCAAACATCTGAGCTAGAGAAAGAACCGAAACAGTTGACAAAGACAACTGAAGCGTTCATGAACGAGACCAGGACTCATCATAAAAATCAAGATGCTTCAATCAGAAATCTAGAAACTCAAATTGGGCAGTTGTCAAGACAATTAGCTGAGAGAAGTCCTGGAACATTCCCCAGTGACACTATAATCAACCCAAGGGAGCACTGCAATGCCATCACTACTAAAAGCGAGAATCTAGAAAAAGTGGAAGCTCCTACAGGAAAGGATGATCACACTCAAGAAGGCAAGGAAGAAGCAAAAGAGAAACCTCCTGTAGTTCAGAAGAAGCAATGAGATTTTTCACGTTTTGAGAAACCTTCATATCCCATGGGGAGCAAGCAACAAAATGTTTAGATATTTTTAAGAAATTGTAAATTAACATTTCTTTTGTAGAAGCTCTGGAGAAAATTCCTCTGTATGCAAAGTTCCTGAAGGAGACATTGTCTAAGAAGCAGAAGCTCACAGAGGACGAACCTATCACGCTAACAGAGGAGTGTAGTGCAATCCTACAGAAAAAATTTCCTCCAAAGTTGAAGGATGCAGGGAGCTTCAGTATTCCATGCACCATCGGCAAGATGACCATAGAGAAAGTCTTATGCGATCTTGGTGCCAGCATAAATGTGATGCCCCTCACCCTGATGAAGAAGCTGGGAATTGGTGAAGTCAAGCCAACGAGGATGAATGTTCAACTGGCCGATCGCTCAACAAAGCAAGCACATGTTATTGTGGAAGATGTGCTCGTCAAGGTAAACAAATTTCTAATTCCTGTTGATTTTGTTATTTTTGACATTGATGAAGATACCAGTGTGCCTATGATCTTCGGGAGGCCATTCTTAGCAATCTCAGGAGCGCTAATCGATGTACCTAAGGGTGAGTTAATAATGCGCGTGGATGGAGAGCAAGAAACATTCAAGGTACTTACAAGTGATGCTCATTTGCCTGCATCTCAACCTAAAGATCAAGTTAACTACATTGCGGAGAAGAGGGTTGAGGAAGGGAACAAGAAGGAAGTCCATCAGCAGCATGAGGAAAGCAAGCTAAAGGTGAAGATGGAAAAGCCCAAGAGAAAGAAAAAACTTGTAAAAACTAATTTTAAAGTTCTTGAGAAACCTCCTCCTCACCCGCGTGCATATGATCATGGAAGGACACAATACTAGACCAAGAAGATTGGGTCATCAATGGTAGCGTGCTTTCAACCACCGTAATCATAAAGGGTACGTCAAGCTCGTGATGTTAAACAAGCGCTAGTTGGGATGCAACCCAATAGTCATTTTTTGTTTTATTCATTTTATCTTTACTAGGTAGTTTTAATTTAAGAAAGTGAGGTAATTGGTGAATTAGTGACCACATGAAAAAGTTTAAAATCTGGGAATTGGCGCTATCAGCGCCAACATGGCGCTAGTAGCGCCAGAAAATGAAAAAGAGACAGTAGCTCCGCGCTCACAGCGTGGATTTGGCGCTATCAGCGCCAGAAATTACGAATAACCCGCGCCAACATCGTGATATCAACGCTTCCATAACCATCATTTCCAAAAAAAATTCGAGTGAGCTCCGCGCTCACACCGTGAACTCCACGCTGTCAGCGCCAGTGTCCTCACCATTTACTTGACTTTAGTATTTTATTTTTTTTCATTTTTTTTTGAGATTATGGTTTGACTATGTCTCCTTTTACATATTGAGTTTATGATTATTCTGTTTGACGTTTAACAAGTGTGTGTGTTCCACCTACGCATAAGTAGTTTCACTCTACTAGTTTATTTTATTGCTGAGGACAACAAAATTCTAAATCTGGGAATTGGGTGCATACCAGATGAGATAACTACTAACCGCGAAATTGCACAACAGAGACGTCTAACAAAAAAAATTTCTGTAAAAGGGGAGATACTTTAACCTTTCTTTTTATTAATTTCTGCTATTTTTTTTAATTCAATTTTTTTTTAGAAAAAAATCAAAAAACCAAAAAAAAAGTGAATTCTTGACAAAAGCATTCCTAGATTTTGCAAAGCTTACTGAGTAATCAACTAGATTGAATCATAAGAAGCATGATATCTGTGGAGCATTAAAATTTTAGATAATCTGAGAGTGATGAATTCTCGTTTGTATAACTGCTTTGATGAATAATTTTTGGATAATGCTTGATGTGAACTTTTGAAATTAGATTCTAGCTTGAATTAAACCTGTGAGAATTGAGCCTAAACAGTAAAAAATTTCAAAGAGGCCTCACTATAGTAGTCTTCTAGAACTTGATCTATTTCTCTAGTTTGCATGCATTATTGACATGATAAAGGAATGTTCATTCTTGTTAACTTAGAGCCAAATAACCTACCTAGAAAGGATTTCCATTGTTAGCCCCTTTGAGCCTTAGACCAATTTATTCAAAAATCTGATGAAAATTACTTAACCAATTCTCCATTCACACACCTTTAAAGAGATTGAAATGCCGATCAAAAGAAAAAGTCAAGATATTTCTCAAAAGAAAAGTTAAGTGAGTTGAAAAAGGAAAAGAAGAATGGTCTGCAAAAATGCAGCTCAAAAGAGAACAGAAAGAAAACGTCTGCAAACAAGGAAAGAAAAGTGAAAGGTAGTGACAAAGGGAATAAGAATCACGAAATGACGAAAAGTGGCAGAATTAAAGACTGAGAAGAAAGTATTGTCAACAATCTCAGTATTTCAGTCTCAACAATTAATCAGCCTCTGTCCAAAAGATTCTTACCCCCAAACCAGGCCAAGTTATAACCTTTCATGACCTTTTGATCAGTTTATGCATGTTAAATGAGTTCCTCAATATTAGGAATTTGAGAATATGATCAAGCCTATGAAATTACTACTACACTGATGGAATGAGTGTTGAACCCATCAAACATTAGAGCGATGAGAGTATATATTTATCTAGTGAGGAACATTCAAGTTATGATCTGAATTTCTTGATAAAACTGAAAAGCATTGTTTGAAATTTTTAACAAGGAAGTTATACATGCATAGCAGTCTGATCTCTTAAGATAATTGTGTTCCATGTTTTCTCTCCACAGAATTCATACTTCTTCTGTTTCTTTATTGTTTTCATGAATACTTTTTATTTCTTTAATTTGTTTAAGTCAGCTATGTCTGGCTAGTTTCTTTTTGTAGTTGGGATCACGGACCCGATGTGAATCCTTTATATTTTCTGTATTGATATTTTATAAGTTAATTAGTTAGTTTGTTTTATTCTACCTGTGTTAATTTTTCCATATCTTGTTTAGAATTGGCCACTCTAAATTATAGGGCTTTGAGGGTTAGAATTCACAATAGACATATTGAGATTTTAATCTGGACAAAGGTAGAATAACAATTTGTGTATGATCTAGACATAGGCTTACATAAATTGCAGACTCATAATTCATTTGCTTAATGCTTAATTCAAGAGGGATTACTAAGACATTAGAATTCTGATTGGGTTAAAGTGTTGAAATCACTAAGACATTAGGGTTCAACTATTTTATAGGGAAATAATGAATTATCTGAACAAACGAATTAATTAAATTATAAAATACAATATAAGAATATAAGGGAGGATCAGAGGTGAAGTGCATCATGGCTACTTCCTTTTTATAAATTTTTCATCAATATTTTCTCGCGTTCTTGATCTTTTCATGCATGCGTTGAAAAATAATTGTTTTTAATTTTCTATTTTTAATTATTAGTTTATTTTAAATTCTGTTTTTAAATTACTTTCACAAATCAAATCAATTTTTATTTTCCAACTTAAGGAGAATAGTTAAACTACTACTTGGTGCATTAATCCTCGTGGGAACGATACTCTACTTATCACTTTATTACTTGAAACGAACGGTATACTTGTCGTGTTCGCAACAACCGCAAATGGCGAACTGATTAAACCAGACCAAGAAAGGTTTTAACCTAATGATTGTCGGAGAAAAAAGATAACTCCATCAAACGGAGACAACAACTATTACACCCCGGCAACCCGAACTATCGTGCTGAGGGGTAACTCTTATGGACCTGACATAAAGGGCCACACTCTAGAAATCCCATGAAAGGCAAATAGTTAAGAGAGAAATTAAGAAAAGATTCCTTAATTATACTAATTCTAGAGCGACATCAATTGATTGCATTGGACCCCCAAAAATTCACCAAAGGTCTAGAATTTCATTATCCACATGTAAATCCTATAAATAAAAGATAAAGCCTATAGGTACGCACTTTTGAACCATATCTCTCTTTTCTATCACTATGCATATACCTCACGCCTTGGTTATGTCGTTTATTATAATGCACAACGATTAGTTTTTCTTTAAGGTATCTTCCTCATAGATACTTAAGAGAGAACACAGATCTAATATTGATTAATTCGATTGGACATCTCGATTCAACAAGATCAAACATAGACAAAAAAACACACACAGACAAATCCTACGCTAAAATTAACACGGAGAAAGCAATGGAAAAAAAATAAAGGCATGGATTACGTTAATTCGACAAAAAAATGGTAGAAGATACTACTATATTAACGAAGCTTCCATTTAATCAATCTTTCACTCATATGCTATAAATAAAGGGTTTACAATTTCTAAAATTACTTTAGATAACTTTATCTAATGTTCACCAAAATACACATATAAAAGTTTGTGTGGGCCGTGTTTTTTTCTCTCTCTTCTCTTCACATAGATCCACATGGACCCCACACACTTTTATGTGTGTATTATGATAAATATTATATAAAGTTATCTAAAGTAAATTTAGAAACTTTAAACCCTTAAATAAATGCTAATAACATGTTATGAAAAATAAAATTAAACAAACTCTTGATAAAAGATAGAGAATAAAATTAAAATAATGTTATTGATCAATAGAGTTATGACTATCACCTTGGTTGAAAGCAAAGTAAAACTATGAAAAAGGGAACCGCATTAATTTATTTAATTAGGTAAAAGTTTTTATTTTTAAGGGTTTAATGTTTTTCCTAAAAGTTCAAGAAAGTAGTTATAATCCGGAGGAGAAAGAAAGACAAAATAAATGCTAATAACCTATTCTTTGTATCTCAAAGAAAAATATTAAATCTTAGTTGACCCATTTTAAAAATCCTTGAAAACTGATCTCTGGAAAATAAAGTTGAATTGATCATGCACAAGGAAAAAATAACATGAAACATCAAGCACGTGGATCAATTGGGGAAGGTTGTTCTAGCTTAATCAATTGTCTTGAGTTCAAATCCCGAATATGCAGTTGTGTTAAAATTATTTGGATGCCAGATAATTCATAGAAATTGAACTCACAAGCCAGATCACCTTCATATA